GGGGGGGGGGGGCTAAAGAAGATGAAAGGCACCCAGTTTACTGTGGCTTTGACGTAAAAGAGAGCATATGGATGTCGGTTTTCAACACAGTACTGAACGTAGTTGTATCAATTGTGTTCCTCTACCGGCCTTATCTCTTCTGTGTGGTTCCAGATTTCTTCACGGACGAACATCGCCAAGAACGCAAAAGAAAACTTTTTTCAAAACAAGAAAATAATGATTGTGGAAAAGAAGGAACAAATTCAGACGAAATTCCACTGGATGATGTTAGCCCTATAACCTGTGCGGAGATGGTATGGAAGTGCGTAAAAAAATTGCCTTCTTTTTAATCACGGATTGAACGTAAAATTGATCATCTTTTGGTATGGTATAATTCCAGAAATTTTTTTTTTTTTGCATTAAGCTCTTGTTATATTTCATAATCAAGGATAATTTCGACGAAGCTTCAAGGAAACTTCTATTTCAAGTTGCTTATTTTTATCTCCACATCATTTGCATGGAAAAATTAAACCTTCTGTTTATGTTCTGGTTATGGGTCGTTATTTGTTATACCCACTGTGATAATTTCCCTATGGAAGCCTGAAAAAAACCAGGTTTTGCCTTTAAGTATCTGCTGCATTTGCGGACGGGACCAGCCTAGTCTTAGAATAACCATATAGTAGAGCATATAAATAATATGCCAAATGGTGTAATCAAAGGAATGAAATAATGAAAACTGTTCTTCGTCCCTTCGTCCCTTCGTCCCTTCGTCCCTTCGTCCCTTCGTCCCTTCGTCCCTTCGTCCCTTCGTCCCTTCGTTCACTCGTTCCTTCCTTTTAACCTTTTTTCTTTGTTAAGTCTTTCACTAATGAAATAGTTTTTAGGTTATCTGAGCAGAAATGAGCGATGCGAAGAATGTAACGTGTCGTGTAGCAGGAGTACTGGGTTTGACTGTCACGTGATAAGGGTGTTAAAAATTGTCGTTTTCCGCCATGTTGACACCGTCGGCGGTAATCTGAAATCCGCGCTCTGAACGGGTTGGACCTTTCCTCTGTGAAAGTGAGCAAGCTTTCTCCACATCAAAGGATTTTCACTCGGTTTCTGTAATCAAAAGGTGAGCTTTGACTTCTAAAGAGCCATTCTTTGGGGAAATGAAATGACAGAGTTATCTTATCAATATTATCTCATCTTTTACTGCATGCAACAATACTCACGTAAGGGAGAGAATTACGAACGTGGATCCCGTAGGCCTGGTTTGTATATTGTTTGTCTGTTCTCTAATCCATGGAAAACTCAAATGTAAATAATCTACGGTCGCTTGGGTAGATTTTTATCTGGTAGATTGTTTGTGTTTCGAACGTGTGTGCCAACTGGACGGGAATCAACTATCGTGAGTTAGTATACCGTCAGTGGCATTGATATTCAATTCCCTGCACTAAACATTCCCTTGCGTTCGTAAAGACGCGATTTTCCTTACGCCGCTGATTCTGTGTAAGGTCTAACAATCGAAATAGGCATTTTGGAGGAGGAATTGTATTTCTCTGTCAGAAATCATAGAAATATATCTACTAAATATGGACTACACCAAACTGAAATTTTCCGGTCGATTGTTGTGAAATTCGCAGCACAATTCAGATGTCTTGGTTAAATATTTACTTCTTTTTAGACCACCTTGTTCTTAAAAACCAATCAATGCAAGCGTTTGTCTTCTAAGTAGACTTTCTCTTGCAAAATACATTAGTTAGGATAAGAATCATCAATTGCGCAAGGATATTATGAAAGTAAGAGTATTTTTTCCTTGCGGAATCTCTGTATTTCTAATTAGGGAGAAATTTCAGTCAAATGTGAGCTAGCAGTAGCAGCAACAATTAACGTTGTTTCACTTTCGTATGGTAGACTAATACAGCAGATGACTTCACACAAATTAAAGAAGAAAAAAGCACCGGTAAAGTACGACTGTATCTAAAAGTGGAATGAGCAATCGGTTCGATATTCAGTCAGTACAAGGTTCAGATGTTTAAGTTATCACATTGCTTGGGTTTAAATTTTCTATACTTGATTTAAACTCTCTTTAGATCTTTCTCGCCCTGCTGATTGTCGTGATTTGTAGTGAAACAACTCCAATTTTCAATTTCCTTGAGGGAAAAAATTGTACTTCAGCAGTTTTAATAGTTTTCTCCATAGTACATTTACATATGATAAATGATCAGAGCTTCTTCATTGGTCCTTCAAGTGCAATCTTGAGAGTTACTTTAGTGACAATGAGTAACTGTATCTGTTGTAGTTCAAAGTTTTTCTTGTACTGGGTTAAAGTTCTCTAATCAATGTGATATTAATTTTTCTTTATCTCAAATTTATGGTTGTCTCGGAAAAAGAGGTAAATAAAAATGAGTCTGGTGTGAATAAACTGTTAACCAAGATGAAAATGGAACCACATTACAGATTTAAGCTCAGTGATGTTTGCCAGCAGAGTTGAAGTTTGTTGTAATAGTAAAGAAATGAGAAATGCCCATAGATTTGTTGATTGATCATTTGGTTAAAATAAAACAATAGAGATTATGTTTGCAGGCATAAATATATTTTGGGCCTGATTCAGTGTCATTAAAGGATCTAGAGTGAAAATGACTCAGATAAGGGCCTGAGACATTACTATGACTATCACTTTGAAGGGCATTGAGGAGAAAAAAAAACTGAAAAAATTAAAACAAATCAGTCTAAACAATCATGCCATCGTTTACAAGTTAAATGGCTTCTATTTTCCTTAAATTAAAATACCCCGGTGAGCAAAGCTGGCTGGAAAGTATAAAATCTTGTGGTAGAAATAAGAGGGAAGTCAGAGTGATTTGAAAATAATTTGTTTCTTGGCTGCTTACATTGCATAAATGTTTGTTTTTCACTCCTTACTGATTTAATTTCATCGCTCTGAAAAAAAAATTCAACATGTCAAATTCTCCATTCAAGCTCGTTAACCCCTTAGAGTGACTGGCGTCAAATTTCTCACTATTTCACCCCGGAATCAAACAGTAAGGTCAGGAGAGTAAAGGAGCTGCACACCAACTATAGAAGCTCTTGATTGTTAGGTAAATTCTCCTTGTCAGCACCTTGGGAAATGTTTCAAGGACAGTATGAAGAATATGCATACTGATGTTAAGGTGTAAAGGGTTAATTGCCGCACAATTCCTGACAAAGTGATATTATTCATGAATTGTCTCTTATTGCAGATGTCATACACCAATGCCATTGCTCTTTACGACTACAAAGCCACGCAGAATGAAGAACTCTCCATTAAGAAGGATGAGAAACTGGTCATTCTTGATGACAGCAAATCTTGGTGGCATGTGGAAAATTCAAAGCATGAAACAGGATATGTCCCCTCCAACTATGTGAAAAAGAGCAAACCTAATGCCAAAAACTGGTTAAAAAGTTTAGGACCTGGAAAATCGTCAAAGGAAAATGGAGCTATGAATTCACCTGGTGAATACTTTGTTCCACAGGATGTTTTAAATGCATTAGAAACTGTAATTGCTAAATTCAATTTCCAGCCACAACATGATGATGAACTTGTATTGAAGAAAGGTGACAGAATAACTGTTCTTGAGAAGAAGGAAGATGGCTGGTGGAAGGGAAAAATCGGAAAAGATTCGGGCTGGTTTCCATCCAATTATGTACTTGCAGAAGAGAACTCAAAAGTTGCTAAATCTATCCCTGATAAACCAGTACTTCACAAAGTGAGGACACTGTATAACTTTGATCCGAAAAATCCTGAAGAGCTTAGTTTTAAAAAGGATGAGATTCTGGATATAATTGAGAAACCTGATGATGACCCTGAGTGGTGGGTCGCAAAAAAGTCAGATGGTTCTTCAGGACTGGTCCCTAGTAATTATATTGTAAAAGTAGACAATGAAGGCAAAATGCCAATGCTGAATGCTGAGCCAGTGGCTGAAAGTAAAGAACCACGAAAAGCGATTTTGCCTCAGCATAAGAAACTTCCATTTGTTGATGAGGCATGGTTTTGGGGGAAAATTACCAGGGTTCAGGCTGAAAAGATGTTGAATAGAAATGCAGTGGATGGAGATTTTCTAGTAAGAGTCAGTGAAACTCAGGTAAGAAGTTACACCTTCAACCTTTAAGTGTTACTAGCATGATATTTCTCTGAACAATGTTGCTGCTGAATGGAACTGTTTAATTCAGATGAACAAAGAAAAGTAGTGTAAGAATCTTTTGATTGATTTTAAATTTTCCTGATCAGTGCCGTAGGAAATTTCTGGAGAACAGTATAGAAAATATGCATGCTTATATTAGATTAACAGGGAGGGACTTGTGGGGCAACTTTTGATTCTGGGACAACCAGGACTTAAAAAAATCAATCAGAGGGTTCTGCAGGATTGTATAATTTCCTGTAAAAATTCTCTGTGGGGCTCTCAGCTGAAGCTTGATTTTGTGGAACCTTCTTCCAGATAACAAAAGTTCATAACCCTCTGACCCCAAGAGTGACTAACATCAAATTTCTCTTGACAGTATTACCCCTAAATCACACATTGAGGCTGTGAGAATGAAAGAAATGATATCCAACTGATAGAGCTCTTGATTGTTAAACAAATTCTCCTTGTCAGCACCTTAGGAAATGTATGAAGAACAGTCACAGTCACTGAGTCTGCCATGACTACACATAAGTTGCCTTTTAGAAACAGATCCATAATTAGAGAGATGTGGGCAAATGGAAGTATACACGAGAACAGGACAGAGATGGAATCAGAGTTTTTTCTCTGTTCATGTTCCTTAGCAGTTTCATTTCAGGGTCTGCTGTTGAAGCTTTTCTTTGGTTTTTCTCTCAAAGATGCTTAATTGCTGAAAAAAATATTGTATTAGGTCTAAGAGATGAACACAACATGGTTGATTGTTTTTCAAAACTAAAGCACAATTATCCTATTTTTTTCTTTTGTCTTGCTAGGAGGGAGGATATTCAGTGTCCATGAAAGCTCCAGACAAAATCAAGCATTTTAGGGTAAATTATACAGATGGAAAATATAAAATTGGTCCACGAAGCTTTGACAGAGTGGAAGACTTAATAGAACATTACAAGAGGAATCCCATCTTTACAGATGAAGCTGGTAACAAGATGTTTTTGGTTAAACCCTTTGAGGAAGGGTCTTAGTAATGAAGATTTCCCTAAACATTTCACAAAATTTTGAACAGAGCAAGAAGCATGATTTCATTTGTCTGTTGAATAATTGATGTCTTTGAGACTTAATAGAGAAAACTTATCAATGTCTAATGTGAAATTTCCATTACAAAGCAGAAATTTTCTGTATTGAAGTGAGCATTCACTTTACAAAAAATGTACAAATTAGTCTGCAAACTTTGAGAAAGGGTATATTGTATACCCTGTCAATTCTATGGCAAGGAATCCACAAAAAGTTTACCAAGTTGAAATGAGCTTGGAGAGTTCATACACAATGGTACAATTTGTAGATAAAGTTCAGTGACTTCTACAGGGGCTGCTAAACATCTACTGACAGGCCAAATCACACTTGTGAGACAACTTTGTAACTACTTCATAGCCATCTGAGTTGGGACTATTAGATTGCAGATGCAGCAAGAACTCTAAATATTTAATATTTACTAACAGTGACTCTGGATTCTGACATGCTTGAGTTTTGTGAATGAGCAAGTTTACTTTCAATAATGTACATGAGAAAATTACTTGCTTCTGATTGGCTGAAAATGAGTGCATTCTCATGTAATACAAATGCAAAATTTCATCTGTCTTGCCTTTCCGTGATGTCTTTTCATGCAAATTTTCAACAGGTAATACCATGATTTCCCTTGCAATTTGGTGTGATAAGCACTTGTAAATTTTTCAAAGACTACAAATTGCACATGCCCTACAGGCCTGTGCAATTTTGTTGTCTTCAAAAAATTTACTCATTCTTGGATAGTAGTATGTCCACAGGCACAGCATGTAGAGAGAGCTGAGTATGGTAATAATGTCACAGTATGCTCAAAAATTAGCATGACAAAAAACTAGTGAAAGTGAATTTAAGTTTGTTCTAAGTTCTAAGTGGAATTTAGTTTTGACCTTAACTGGTCTTAAATCAAGATGTGATTAAGTAAAATTAAGATTTATGGGAGGTCATTGCCTTGTATAAGTTGTACATATATTGAAGCTCATCAGTATGTTAACACAGCAAGGCTCAAATGCAGAACTGATTTTTACTGTATTTTAACAAGGTCCCAGTTTGTTGAAAGGAAACTCTGGGATTGGAAAGAAAGTTAGCAATTCGATAAAGGTTAGTCAATGGTCACATGAGCTACCAATGTCGATATGAAGTGAAAAGATCAGGCCCCGGTTGTTGAAAGGTTGGATAACGCTATCCACAGGATAAAACTCAGGTGGATAATCAGGTGGATAATGCTAAATTGATCCATTGGGTAGCGTTATCCACGTTTTAAATAACTGGGCCTAGGACATTAACTAGCTTGTGTCCTTTTCAGCAATTACTGTACATTTTAGTGAAGAGTGTGTTCTAAATTCAAAAGATGAGGGGACTTAAGGTTTATAAACAATCTTTTTTGTACTCAGACAACATAGATTAGGAATACTATTAGACAATTGTATACTCTTTTGTAGTAAAAAAGATAATTTTGGTCTGGCAATGGGATAGTGATCCACACTCTTTTTACACTGAGGGTTACTTGGCACTTAACTGGAACATCCCTTACTGAGGTGAATATAATATAGACTTAAGAATTACTCTCCAAAATGGTTACTACATACTTTCTGGTTGTTTTAACCCTTATCTCCAAGCAGTGATTAAAGTATAGCTTCTCCCAATAATATCCATACATTATTCAGTAGACAGGTAAGGAGAACAGTCAAACTTATCAAGTAGAAGTTGCTGTATAACACTAAATTCTTGTAACTAGTTGTCAAGAAATTGTGTAGCAGCTAGAAGGGAGAGTTAACAATTGCATCTTGGGAGTTACAGGATAAAACAAGTGAATGACGCAAGTAAAGTGTTGTTGTCATAGTTATTGGTAATCAAATGATTTTGTGGGCAATTTCACATTTCTATGGACTAGCATTCCATCCCAGACAGAAAAGGGCAATCACACATTCATTTTCATTCGAAATTGCTTTCACAATCATTTGATTACTTGATAAAAAACACATTCAATTACAATTCCCCACACTACATTTCAATCGTTAGGGAATACTTGACTTCGATGCATACTATTACACAATTATTTATGTAATTAACTATACCAAAACAATTCTTGGTTTCCTCAAGCTCTGTGAATTCTGTTGCACTATCTTGTGCAACTTTTTCTGTGGATACTCGATTGTCATTTACTTCTCATTACTTTCTTGTAAGGATTTGAGCTCACTTATCTTGTAAACTTTCCTAAACCTTTATATTGTGTACAGTGGGTGGTCTATTTGAAGGACTGCAAGTTTAATTATGTAGGTTTAATAAGCCGAATGCTGTGTACAATGTACAGTACCAAGGAATATATGAGAGTGAGCAAAAATTTTTTAAATCTTCAAAATTTGCATTAATTTATGCATGTACTCTGTATTTATTCAAAAGCTTAGGTTGAAAAAATTAGTTCTCCTTCACCATGCAGTATTGTTTTAATCAGTTTTATAAATGGAGAGTTTAGAAATGTAGCAGTTATTTCATGCATTAGTCCTGAGCAGATAGCTTATGCACTAGGAATGATTAGACTTAAAATGCCAGCTAAATGACTCGTTTTTAAGTAACATAATGGAAACTTTAGGAGGTAAAAGTAGTGCGAATTAAAGTTCCTCTGATTTGAATCTTTGTTTAAATGTGGTAGTTTCTTTTTTTCAGTAAAATCAATTGGTTTCGATACTGTACAGATTCCATGCTATTCCAGATTTTTTTGGTGAGATCCTCTGGGATCATTGTCCATCTCTGAATCATGTGTAGAGCTGATGAGTACTTTTGATGGGTTAGTCTGATCATGCTGGTGAGAGTAGTCCTGAGAAGCACTATGGTTGGTAGCTGTGACTGATATCTTGAAAACATAATGACGTAACTACCAACAACAGCCTTTTCAGAACTACACTCAGCTGATGGTTGGAGCTCACAATTTTCCTCAAGCTTTCGGAAAACTGTTTGCCTTTTTGGAACAAATAATTTCTAATAATTTCGTTAAACAAATTTTTTGCACTAAATGGAGGCAATTCTTTATATCTCAGACATCAGTTTGCAGAATTTATCTAAATGCATAACCCTAGATTGAACATGTAGGCAGGACCTTTGGATCAAAAAGGACACAAGTTGACTTCCATTGGTTTTGAGCTTAACACTGTAAAACGCATTCATCACTATTTAGAGTAATTTTATTTCATTCATTTTTTTCTGGCCTTTTTACTGTACATGTAGTTCCAGAGTACCACAGTTGCATAATAAAGCTTCCAATTGCCTCCACTGTTAAAATTATTCTACATTAAAAATTAACATGCACGTAACATAATAGTAATGTTACACCGACTTATGTTGAGTCTCTCAAAATCAGATTTTTACATCTGTAATATTTTGATCTTGGATTTACACTGTATTTACAGAAATCCTCTGACAGACAGTCGCCATATAGAACTAGATGCTGTAGTAAACCACTACTAACAACACTTGAGCAAAGCTAAGACTGTGACAATAGAATATTTGTGGCTACATTGACATCATTGTTACTTGCCGTCAGGGCATGGAGGACAGCCAGCCTAGAGAATCCCATCTCCACCAAAGTCTGAACCTTTCACAAACAATGAAAAATTGATTGAGCTCAAAACAGTCATTTGATGATTGAAGTGTGTAAACATTTCAATTTCAAATAAGTATTACTACTCTAGCCTGTCCAAAACCACTTCTTTTTGTTTTTTCTTTGGGGGATAAGAACAGCATATAGCCACCCTCCAGCATCATTTTCATCATTAGCTGTGATTTACCTTCCCGTGCATTTGTGTTCTTTAGTTCATCCCCACTTAGATAATGATGTAAGAGAAAAAAGGTGGTCTGTGAACAGGCTGGTGATGATCAGACCCATTAGAGCACATTCAGGGGTTTGAAAATGTTTCAAAGCAGGAGTCAGACTTTGCAAAAATAATTGTGAAAAGTTCAATAAGGGCCAGAAGGTAATAATTTCGACCAGAGCAACTAGCAACATGTTATCAAGTAACCAATGAAACTTTCTTGTTTTGAAACCCCTGCATATTAAATACTTGTGTTGTAAACTTCCAACTATCCTCTGTAACTCTCACCATGGGTTCTGATGCATGTTTCAAAACTTATCAACACCTTTTAATCCTAAAATTTTGCCCCAAAACAATTACCTGATTCCACTGTTCACTTCTGCCTCACCTTCCAAACCAAGCTTGAAAAGAGGAACTTTACATTGTCTTATCTTTGCAAACAGTTACGGCAAAATATGCTACATTTGCCACAATCTGACTCTTGAGTGGTTCAAAGATTGAAAGCAACAATTTCTACCAACCTGTTCTTCTGACACTTCCACGGTTGGTTGCTGAGGTATGTTAGCATTGTCTACATCAGCACCTCTGTCATGCCAGTTATTCAGTGGAGGCGGGGGTGGAGGCTGCTGGCCACCTGCCCCTCCCCAAAGCCAGCCTCCTCCCCCAGGGGGGAGGAGGACATCAGCATATCCTTGGCCTACTCTTGGAGGACCCTAGATGACATCAAATATTTAAATATAGATGTTACTAAAAAATTACTTTTTAAACTTAATCCTTTGCCTGCTTAGAGTGGCTAGCATCTAATTTCTCCTCACAATATTTATACCCCTGAATCACAAATTTAGGTTACAAGAATAAAGAAAATGATCACCATCTAAAGAAACCCTTGATTGTTAAACAAATTCTACTTGTTTGCACCATAGGAAATTTATAGGGAACAGTATGGAGAATATACAAACTGATGTTATGGTGTCCATTTACAGTGGAAACTTGTGAGGGGAGCTGGGGCTGGATGCTCAATAAATAAGAACATGGATTTCTACACAGGAAGGTTTATCATTGCTGACCAACACTACACTGTAGCATTGGCTGTTACAAGGTGCTTTACATTACATCATTAACCCTACCTTGGTATCAGTTGACCGTTTTTGGGTAAGCAGAGGGAAAGGTGCACAGCTGCACAGATACTGACATTGATCCATCGGATGATCACAGTGACTACATTTTGTGGAAAAATAGGGTTGGAACAATTAAATATACACACCCTGTTTCTAAGATGTCCCATTCTTGCCCTCATTGCTTGCTGCTCATAATGTTCCACTTGCTGTGCTCTCTGTATTTCCAGCGTTGCACCCATCGCATAGGGCTGAGTAGGGGGAGTCTCTGTTGAAAACAATCCACCAAATGCTCTGGACACAGCTGACGTCAGGGATTCTGGCAACTTCAACCACTGTTGAACTTGAAATAAGTTGAACCTATAAATAAATCCTGCTACCTGTAAAATAGGGGGAGAACAAATAATTATAGTTATTTCTTGGATGCACAAGTTAGTAGTAAATGTTATTACTGTATTTTTTCAAGACTTGTATCATGAAATCATTGGTTACAATCCTCTAAATTTATATCTTTCTTTATTCTCATCACTTGTCTACTTGATATTGTATTGATATTGTAGAGAGAGATGCTGTTTTGGTCAGTCACAGGAGTTTTAAAGGTTATTCCATGGAGAGTGCACCCAACAATTTTTAATCATGAGTTGTGATGCATAAAAAAAAACAAACAAACAAGTGAGCACAGTGAACAAGTAACTTTTCAGATGCATTCCACCAGGTGAATAAAAATCATTCAAGCACTTTCCATGGCATAATATTTTTATTTCATATAAATATGAAATTCATTCATTTCACAAGGTTTCCTTACTGACCAACACATTTTAAAGATTGGAGGCAAATGACTGTGAAAACACATTGTTCGTCCAGTCAGAGACATAAACAATAGTACTCCTTAGCATTAACCTCAGTATATGCCAAATATAAAGGGTTAACAACTTGTAGAATTTTCTGCACCTACCACTCCACAAATGCCAGCCAAGAGTGATTCCTTATTAGCTAACAGCATCTGTACAGAAATAAATTAATGACTTTTAATATAATATTATTTTAAAGATTGTACTTTAAAACCATGATGAATAAATTTAGCAACAAATAAATTAACTTTACATCTTTCCACAAGAAAAAAATTTTGAATATTCAGGATCATCTGGAAAGATCAGGAAGAAATTAGGAATTCTTCTGTTTTCCTAATGCAACCCAAAACCACTACATAGCAAACAATTGCACCTGGTGCAAGGACCACAAGGAAAACTACTTACCTGAAGTGCCATGGAGTAAATAAATATTTTTCCCGAGATTGGGAATCCAATGAAGGTGATAGCATCTGATGCTGGGACATCACAGAAATACTTGACGAGAGTTGCAAACAGCACTCCAAAACTGTGAGTGTTGAAGGACATGTAAGGAAAATACTATAATCTTAACCCTTTACACCCTAAAATCAATATGCATATTTTCCATACTGTTCTCTGTGCATTTCCTAAGGCACTGATAAGGAGAATTTGTTTTAATAGTCAAGAGCTTCTTAAGCTGGTGATCATTTCCTCTCTTCTTGTAAGCATAAGGTGTGATTCAGAGGTGATATTGTAAGGAGATATTAGATGCTATCCTGGTAACCCTTAAGTTATGGTGATGAGATTTATTCATGAGCCAAAACAGACAGGCTGATTGGCTAGTTTGGAAGTGATTGGCAAGTACTATTCCCCTATAAGCAACTGAAGGAAAAAAAATTGCATCTTAAGAGTACATTTCTGACCATTTTTGGGCACATAAACAGAAATAAACTATTCTTTGGTTCTGTGTCATATATACTAAAACAATAATTCACATCACTGTTGGTGAAAGTAGTGGATATTTACCTCAATGCTTTGCCGCTTGGTACATGTAAATATCCACCATTATTCACCTCCTTTACAGTGAATAACTCTTTATTAAAGTCATGTTAAAGAATTTGATGGAACATAATTTTTAGCATGACAACATGTTTTAAAAGACAAAAAGATACAGTCCTGCTGGAGGAAGTCCTACTTCATGTCCAAAATGTTTGAGAACAGCTATTGATGTAAGTTGAAGTCCAATTGCAATTACAGAGGTACAGAAAATATATGACTGTAAAGATAAAAATAATAAGTAACTTGACTATACACAAGAAAAAAATTCTACAACCAATGAAAAATTACCAGTTATCATTCAGTCTCATCAAAATCAATACATTAATCGAAACTTGAATAAAATTATTGAATGTGATTCATTATCAGTAGCCCAATTTGAGTACTGATAGGACTATGTACATGTCATGCTTGTAATTGGACAGTGTAAGAGGATAGTAAATGCATCATGCCAGTGTACTTGGACAGTACATGTCACATGCATGTACTGTTCTCATGCATTTTACCAAGTTAACTGGTGTATTTATTGATTGATTAGTAACACTGGACACCTAATTGTCAACCAATTCTCTCTGTTATTATACTTGTGATTTTTTTTTTAATCACTCGCATGATTACAGACTGAATTGCACTCCACTCAGCCCTATAACCATTAATTATCACTTACTGCATATCTTTTAGAACCAAATCGTCTCTCAAAGATCCGGAAAGAATAAAGAAGAAATGAACCACAAATCAAATTTCTAGTACTTGAATAGTAAAAAGTTGAGGTCAGAACTCGCCATAACTGAAAAATGAGAAAAAAAATAAAGATTCATCATCATCATCATCATTTCATTTGCCTTTTACACAAAAAAAATTATTGACAGCATTATAATCTATAATATAAAATGAGAAAAAAATAAAGATTCATCATCATCATTTCATTTGCCTTTTACACAAAAAAAATTATTGACAGCATTATAATCTATAGAAGGCAGGGAGACCCAGGAAGCCACCAGGCTTATGGGAGAGGCCACCTCACTTAAAAGTGCTGGGAAAGTACGGCTTGGCCAATTCAGTGATTATTTAAGTAAAAACTCTTGCATTTTCATCTTAAAGCTAAAAAGATTTGACAAACAAGTGACTGAAACAAGAAGAAGGTTCCCAATTTTAGGACCTCAGTAAAGAATTGAAAATTACTTGAGATTTGTATGAAACAATACATTAAATAAGATTACTTATGTATGGATTCTGCCAGTTATGGGAAGCATAGTTCTTATCAGATTTAGATTCTGTCAGGCCTATAACTCAGCTTCAAGCTTCCATTTTAGCACAGTCCCATACTTCATTATGCATACAGCTCTAGGATAAAGAAAACAATAGATTCCCTTTGGGACTTGGGCTTTATTTGAGAATAGTATTTAGTAGACTGAAATTTTTCGGTAAAATTTCCGCACAGCCCCATACTTGATTATGCGTTCAGTTCTTAAATAGAGAAAACAAGGACTAAAACAATACATTGCCATTGGGAAAACAGATTTGTTTTACAATAGTATGGGGCTGTGCGGAAATTTTATCAATTTTTCCCCTACAGTCGTTGATTTTCATCACGTCTCTGGCCATCTTACGTCTTTGATGCAATCAGTGTGTTGAAAACTAACCTCACAGAACTGATGACCGCAGTAAATAACTACCATCAAAAGTAAGAATGAAATTCGAACTTCACCTTTGAGTTATGCACAATCTGGATCCATGGATTACTTGAGAAAAAGTGTCTTGTGGAGGATACAAACAGGATGTTGAAGAACGAAGCTGTTCCGGTTAAGACCAAGAGGCCTTTACTAAACGGCGCATGGTCTAAGAGGAAAAACATATACATTCATTTATATAACATCAACACCTGCTGCACACCAAAATACAAAGTCAACGAACTCATCAACAAAGGAAATTCAAGGTTGTTATTACGAGCAGTTGTCAGGATACTTACAGAAGCCCGTCGAAGAAGCACCAGGGAACATTTAATAGCGATTTTATGAATGCAATGATACCTTTCCGTATTTCTAATCCTCTTCTGAAAGCTAAAATAAGTTTTCCTGAGCAAACAATGCGAAAACCCGCCAATTTTGACCAAAACAAGACAAAAATATCTAATTTTAGGCAATATGCCTTCCTTTTTCAATACGCATGTTTTTGGATTTGTATCCTCTGGTCAAATCATTGCCGGCTCGATATTAAACTTCAAACTTAATCACGCAAACGTCACTGTATGTCACGCAATAGGAATACTAGCTTTGCGCCTGGTTTACACGACAACAATTCGACGAGCCTCGTGGCATAGGAAGGTTATGACGTTATCTTATAGAGTGAAAAGAGTCGTTACATACTGAAACCTGACGCTGAAAATTCCTGAGTTTATACAACTTCGTAAGGGGTTGTAAGAGAGCTTTCATATCCAAGGGGGTCTAGAACCGTTGTAGAAAAAATGCTTTCAAACGAGCTCTAGCAGTACTGATCGAATCACGTTTTGCATTTACCGATTATTAACTCAGCTTCAAAAATTCATATTAACTCTAACCGATTTCAATATATTCGGAACAGAAATTTCATTAAAAAACTAACACGGGCAAAACTGGAACATACCAAAATGGAAGTTTGGACTTCGCCTGAAGTCTGACTTTGCGATCCTCTTAATAAAATTTTTGTGTCGAATTCACAGGAGAATTCTTGTCTCTCAAAACAAGGAAAGCTAAAGGGGGACTTCTATCCGAGGTGGCTCATAATCAATAACTAGCTCCGATTAAAAAAAAAATCGGTGAAAAAATTAAAAAATATTGATACTAGCGTGTTACGAGGAGTTATTTTGAGTGACGTCGATGCGCGACGGTAGCTCCACAAGTGAGGCGCCTCACTCATGGAGATCTTTTTTCCACCTTTTTCTCGATTCGCGCGACGGACTTCGCCGAAAAGGAGGGATTGCTGATCTTTTGTTTATGTCGTTATGTTTCCGACCTTGGGCCGTTATGCTATTATGTTGTAAGCTTCCTTCCTTGGAGGAAGTGGGGAGTTACAAAAAAATTAAAGGACACACCGGGTTAAGCGGCCGGCTTTTTTTTAATTATAAATATTATCGAAGCATTAAAAAACTATCTCTTCACGAGAAATGAGAACTTCCAGTATAAATAAGTAAATTGTCTGAAGCGCACGAAAACTTGGATGACTGACCACGTCGTGATTGGTTTGAGTATTGATTCTGATAGGTTAAGAAAGTGTCGCAAGGGTTGCACCAATCACAGAGCGAGGTAGAGTAAAAACAATGCAATATCCGATTAGGAAGCTCACAAGGTGAACTAACTACACTCATTTTAAAACTTTTTACAATTTACAAATGGAAGCGCGTACGATATTCAGATCAGTGTTTTTGACTTTTCTTGCGTTTCTAAGATTCACGAAGCGAGGACAGCAGCCTGTTCCACGTGATCACAGCTAATAATCGCGCGCTTCAACTCGTCGCTCCTTTTCTGATTGGCGGAAGCATCAAAGGCACATGACCACCACCGATTGCCGACAAAGCAGGCTGGGATCGACCCACTAGCTGCTGTGACGTGGGAAGTCTTGGTTGGTTCTTAACTTTCTTGGTTATAGCTCGAACCAGATCCCGCGCATGCTTGAGGCTGTAGGCTGAATAGTAAGAAAGGATTCTCATGGGCCATCTTGACAGACATGCCAGGCTGATGAGCCAAATAGGGCCGAAAAAGCTGTACATGGCTGCCAAAATAGCGGGTTACTTAAAACTTTTTCGGTAAGAAAGACCTATCACTATTTCATCATGACCTTGTTAAAGCGATCATGTTCCTCTATAATAATATTCGTAATTACATCTCAACGCCAGTGTAAGAGATAAAAACGAAAGAAGGAAAGAATCAATTACACAAAGAGGATAAAAACAAGCAAGGCTAGACAAGCGTTATATGATAAACGAACCAAAAAAAAAAAAGATGTCATTTACACAAGTGCAAATTGATTCACTTCGCGACGAAATGTCTAATCCATTTCACAGTTTTTCATCTAAGAAAATTATCATACGATTTACCCCCGGCCAGATATAGACTGAGAATAATAGGATTTTGATGTCTGAGGAGATACTAGTGTATTCTTGCTAACAAACCTTTTAATCTCGCCTTTATTTCCTCGCTGAAATAACCGCATTCAATCCACTCTTCGAAGTCAGAGATAAAATCAAAGGCAGACAGACCTGCAAGGAAACCGAAAATTTAAATGTTCAACACGGATAGATATTGAAGTTATTAAAATCACAGTTAGCAACTCTGGAACAACACCAGTGACGATCAAGGCAATGGTAACAGTAACGCTACTGAGGATAACGACAACGATATCCAGAACGACCGTCGAAATTATAATGGCAACGATAAGGAAGAATGTCCACAAATGTATACAATGAATCGTGTTTTGGCAGATATAGTAACAACAGTGATGGCAGATATAGTAACAAAAAAAAGATAAAATTAAAAAAAGGAAGGAAACGAAAAGAGTGCTCGTTAAAATCGCAGCCTATGCAGGTTGGTGTTATTACAGCTATGCCTTACCTTGCAAGTTTCTTGTCCTCACATTGGCTCCTGTAAAAAAAATGACCAAAGCACAATCAATCTAGAGTACTAGAGCTAGAGTACTGAAGAGAAGGCTATTAACACGACTAAAATGCGTAACCTCATCAATCCGTATGTCCTTACGTTCTTCCGTCCTTCCATACGTCAGTCCATTCCTCCGTTAGTTTGTTCTTCTATTCGTTCTACCATTAGTTTCTTGTCTGTTCGCTCGTCCTTCTGTCAGTTTACTCGTTGTTTCATAGTTCTTTTTAGCTATCCTTCGGTCCTTCCTGACGCACATCTATCCATTTTTTCGTTCCTATGTGCGTCCGTCCGTCCGTCCGTCCATCCGTTCGTTCGTCCATCCCCGAATCCATTCGTTCGTCTATGCGTTCGTTCTGACGTCCGTCCGTCCGTCCATCCGTTCTCTCGTTTGTTCGCTCATCCGCCCGTTAGTTCGTTGGTTCGTTGTTCGTTAGTTCGTTCGTCTATCCGCTCATCCATTCGTTCGTCAGTTCGTTCGTTCGCTCGCTCGTTCGTTCGTTCATCTGTCCGTTACTTCGTCGACTCGTTCGTTCGTTCGTTCGTCTATCCGCTAATCCATTCGTTCGTCACTTCGTTCGTTCGTTCATTGAACCGTCTATCTGTTCGTCCGTTCGTTACCAAAAGTTCTTACCTTGATTTAACAGAAGACTTGCCGCATACAGATTATTAGCCTGTGCGGCGTAAAACAGCGGACTACACAGGTCATCGTTCATGGCATCAACATCGGCATCAAATGACAATAACAACTCTAACAGATCTGATGCGTTCGACAAGCCTGCGGTCAGGTGAAGAGCTCTGTAAGACAATAATGCACATAATTCTAATCTAATCCATTTAATAGTAAGATTAACATAGACTATTCACAACAATCAGATTATTAAAGCCTTACGTATTTCCTCCCGGGTATGTAGGATTGACGGAAGCACCATTTTCGAGGAGAAATTTGACGGTTGCCACACGATCACCACTTCATGAAATAAAATTAAAAAATGAGTAAAAATTAACGTAATCGACTCACACAGGCGCCATACAGCCATTAAAAATTTTTGCTAACTATTTTCAACCAATTTTCACGCAGTACTTAAACTTGGAAGGAGGAGATTTCAACCGCAGCCATCTCCGAGGTTTAAGTCAGACACTCCAACGATGGAAGAGAGGATGTTATGTGACAAGATCAGACAACAGTTCCGAAAGTATACAAATCCATCGACTGGTCTTGAAAAAACTCGTTTGTGGGTCAAGATTAAATATTTTACATTGGATGCTGTATCAATAAAGTCTTACCAAGGAACTTCTTCAAGCAGAATCTTATGCACAAGTAAATCTGTTTCTTTCTCCTTGAATTCAAACTTGTTTCCTGCTAGCCTAAAATAAAGACACGAGAGTGTTCTATGAGCAATGCAGGACAAGATACCGAAACTGTCTTTTTAGGCCTGACCTTAAAACACAGTAAAGTTCATACCATCGGTGAAAGCATTTGTAACGTCTATGAGCAATGCAGGACAAGATACCAATACTGTCTTTTTAGGCCTGACCTTAAAACACAGTAAAGTTCATACCATCGGTGAAAGCATTTGTAACGCAGGAAAACGTGAAACTGTCAGAAACGCGCGAAAGCGTGGAGCAAGTAAAAAGAGCGCGAAAGCGTGCACCTCGTGAAGAGCACGTGGAAGTGTGTAACAGGTAAAATGGGACGAGCAAATCGTGACAAGCGCGGGAAATTTGTAACAAGTGCAAAAGGCGGGAAACGTGTAAGCTCTCGCGTGCAAAATGTACTGCGCACTTTGTTATTTGGACGGTCAAGTTCTAGAACGAAAAACTAACATCAATAAAAGTGTCTTAGCTGAAAGAAATCATCTATGGCTGCTCACCATTTTGCACAATCTAGAAAGTCGTTAGCCACAGACAAATGAAGAAGACTGGGCGGGGTTTTCTAAAGTGAAAAAGAAACAAGATTGTTTAGTATTTGAAGAAGTTAAAAAAATAAATTCGTATCGCAAAATTTCGGAGTCCGGTAACTCAGTTTATAAAAGCTGAATAAACTCAACGATTCGGCAAAGCTAAAAAACAGAATCTTTTCATAAACCCAAATTTACTCAGACGGCAACACAATGCACTCAGAAAAATAGCTTATGAAGTCGTAAGGTTTATCACTATCTGAAACGTGGAAGATGAACTCTTCATGAAAACTGACCCGTTTGCAAACGGTCACGTCTTATCCGATCTATCTGTAACTGGGTGATGTAATATTTGTACAATTTAAAGCCTAAATACCTCGCCTTCCATCTCCAAGTTTTGCCTTATGATTCCTTCAGTGTCGAAGAAGAGCAAAGCCTGAATGGCGTCTATCCGACCTTGCATAGCGCAGCAGTGAATAGGCATCAAGTCCTGATAAATTACATAAAATGTCAACTGCTTTCTTCTGTGTATATATAGCTCCGCTCCTCCCACCCCATAACCCGTGCTGCGCAAGCTGGTAGATCTCACGAGAGTTTGCCTGGGAACATGACGTAATTAGGTGAAGTCACGATGATCTGTAAGCATTCCTATGTAGTTCCTAAAAGCCTGACAAAAACATTGTCAAATTTAAGGGAACTCGAAAGAAAATTGCGATTTCTGTTCTACTCAGGACTGTTGCTTTTTAAAGGGAATGGGGGACGGGGACGGGAACGAGTAAAGGGTGGACGGGGACAAGAACAGGGGAACGGGGACGAGGACGTGGGAAACGGAAACGGGGGGGACAAGGACGAGGGGAGCAAAGACGAGTGGAAAGGGAGCGGCGGAGGAACGGGGACAGGGGGAACGAAGACGGAAAGAGCGGGAACGAGAACGGAAACGGGAGAAACAGGAAGAAGGGGGACGGGGGAACTGGAACGGGATCCAAGGTTCATCACGACAAAAAAGAATAAAATTAAAAGAACAACATAATAACAAGCAAAATAATTTTCGTACTCACTCGATTATTTCTGGTATTAAGAGGAGCTTCTTTCATCAGCTAAACAAAACAAAGATTTAAAAAATTAATAAACATAATAACAAACTCTAAGCAAAACGTCGAGATGAAAAACATGCGCGTTATTGCAGAAAAACAAGAAGCAGCCACGTTTAACGTTTCTGAGATCAAACAAAGGGTCGCGGGCGTTTAGATAGATAGATAGATAGATAGACTGTGTTTTATTAAAATTACATTGCAGATAAAACTGAATTGCGTAACTTCACATTAATTAATTGTACAAACTGTTTCTGCAACACATATTTATGAAACTTGTTGCCGCTCTGTCGGTCTTACAATTTTGTTGTTTTTGTTTTCTAAAACTGATCGGAAAAGTGCCAATGTCAACTGTTCTTGGTGGGTTCTCAAGCTTGGGATGTTTGCTTGATCGAGGGTTTCTGGAACGCCTGTCGCTATCGGATTTAAACCTGCATCATTGTCGATTGGAAATCTCACCAGCCCAGACTAATGTTTGAGGGATTCCTTACATGCACACTTTTCGTACCATTTTTTCAATGCATTCTAAGTCAGTGGGCTCTCCGCTTTCTCCGTAACATTTGACATGCAGTGGAGTGTTGCCATCATGATCTTCACAGTCAATGTTTGATCCTGCCTCGAGGAGAAGCTGCAAAATCAAGAAAGGATATAACCAATCAAACAAACGAACAAATAAGCATGCGGCTACGCCGACCTGTTTCTTAAATCAACATTTGCAGAAGGATTTAGAAAAGGATCATTAAAATTCAAATGCAGATTAAAGGCCGGTTTCCACAAGTGACGAATTTAGTTGAAATCCAATTTGGAGTCCAAGATGTATTCGGAGTTGTAGGGGCGCTAATGGCACAGTGAACATCGACAATCGTAGTCGTAAGAAGATTCCGATTCCGTTTATTATAAGTATGGGGCTACGCTACGCGCGCTGCGAACTCCGCTATAACTCAATCGTTTAGTATGTCGGAGTCACAAGCAAAGGTAGACAACTACCCAATCACAACTCTCTTTTCCAGGCCATCCGATGGCTTACAACTCCTTCTCCTTCCGTTTTATTTTCACTCTATCGTAACGTTCTACGCTTCAGATAAAGACACCGACTTTGACGTTAGTGAAGACCAGCTTGTGTTAATGGAACATACCTCCACGGTGGCCGCATCTTTGGCTCTGTGCAGGGGCGTGGCTCCTTTGTAGTCCAAAGTATTGACATCCACTCCTTCTGAGAGCAAGGTCTGAAAATGACAAACATGATAAAAATAATAATTAGAAATAGAATAAGAAGGATGTTAACTTTTTTGAGCTCGGTAAAGAAAAAAGATGTTTCTTCGTCTTGTCACGAGCATGGAACAAAGAAAACAAAAATTCTACCTTCCCATGAGGAACTGAACCTCAGATCTTCGGATTTCGCGCTCCGATGCTCTACCACTGTGCTTAAGAGACTCTACAGTGAGCAGGGCTCATTACGAAGTTCATACATGACACACGTCCTGTGTAGGATTAGCAATGTCGATAGCGTCATGTTTGTAAAAAGAGTAAGAAAGTTGGTCCATTTTTTTTAGCTCGGTAAAGAAATAGCGAAACATGTTTTTTTCGTCGATAACGCCGATAAGCGTAATTGAGAAAGCATTTGAGTTGGCAACCATTCAGTCACAGAGAGTACCTTGATAACTGGGATTGCTCCAAAGAAGGACGCAGTATGGAGTAGAGTGCTACCACTGACACACCTAGCGGGATTAACAAGAAAACATGATGAATAACAAAAGAACCGTGCATTCTTTCTCACTGAGTCTCATCTCTTGTTGGCAGCTTTTCTGTGCTTGTATTACATTTGCATGCTCTCATTGTTGCGCTTCTTATTGGGTAATCCTGTCCTCTAGGAGTCCCGGAGCTAAAACGCTTTGTTTTCCCCCTCATCACAGTTAATGAGACTAAACGTTGCAGGAGA